TGCTAGAGGGGACTTAGTCATATTTTTTGAATGAAAGCATGAATAAATTTTCAAAGTGATGCCCTTGGAACATTACCACTGGATAAGATGTGACTCCATTAAATGTTAATAAGCACTCGTGGCAGATAATCATGTTTTTAAACATGATAGGTGTTTTTAAACAATGTTCTTATCTAAAAGTTATCTTTAATGTAATGGGAAAAAATATAGTCCATAAGAAAATCTGGAATATATAACTCAATTTTTAAAACTAAATGTTTTTTAATTTGTAAAAATAAACAGAATTATCTGAGATAAGTAAATATAAATACATGAAGCATGTGGGGGGCAGTCACTTTTTTCTAATAAATGCCAGAGCGCATTCATACATGATCAGGAGAAGTACTGAATTTAAGAAGATAGAAGTAATAAATAAAAGCAGAAGAGAAATTTTAATAAACTACAGTATATTAGCAGCATGATGAGAAAGCCTAATTGATAGTTATTCAATTCTTAGAACGGGGCTTAATCCATAGGCAGACATAATATATTAGCACAGCACAAAAAACACTTCTGCTCTATCTAATAAAACAATTACAGTAAAAACTAATCATTCTTATTCCTAACATGAATACAGCATGATGAACTATTTTCATATTTTTTAGGACTGTGTGCAAACTAACTGAGCCAGGAGCACCACCAAAATTAAATCTGAGAAAAGTACCAGGGATTGTGAAATACACAGATAATTGCATTGAAAAGTTTTTCAAAGTGTACATTCATGATGAAAATAATATTATTTTCCTCATGTATAAGTAGAAAACTGTATTTATAAAGCAAATCTCATCATTTGGAAAGTGTGTTAAAATATTTGTAAAAACAAACAGTGGTATGAGCATCCATTAATAAACTGATTTATGCTTTACTCATACATGACTGAGACAAAATATGTGATACCACAGTTCAGTCCATTTTCTGTAGCCAAATTGAAACCTCTAATGATATTTAAACTAACAATAATTAATAATTTAATATTTAATGAAATACCGGATAACATCAGAAGTCTTAAAGAAAACACTGCCAGTTCAAGCCTAAAAACGGTTTCTTATTAAATATAAGTGTAAATCACATGCTAAAGAAAGGAAGAAACTGCTTTATTTAAAACTTTAGTGCATTTGTGGCTCAGAGAAATTTTTAAATCCTGTGAATATTCTGTGTCAATTTCAGGTATTATCTGAAAAGAAAACTTACACTTAAAGTCACGTTTTCAAAAACAACCTTCTTCAGGACATAAAATGGAAGTTTAAAAAAAGCTGTCCATAAAGATGTCAAATTAATGAAAGTATCTGAATTTCTCACTGTCAGAAAATAAGATCCTTAGAATATCTTGATTATTCACTCTCAAATATTGTAATCAAAACGCTATTTGTAGTAGTTCAAGCTATAAAATATTTACAGACAGCATATATACTATATTGAAACATCTGATTATACATTTGATGTAATTAGACAAAAAACTTCCCTACCCTTCAATGTAATCTTGGAATGGACAGCAATGCTACTTGACTACATCTATTCATCTTCTATCCTGTTTTAATAACACAGTGACACCTAAGAAATTATTCTTTGATCTTTCAATAAACTAAGCCTGTGCAGACAGAGGAACGTGGAAGAGGTTAAATTGACATTGATTATTTAAGACACATTCATCATTTATTTAACCATCTCCCTCATCACAAAAACTATGGTGTTTATAGGCCTGTGCTGAGACACTCTGAATTTTTTTTTTTTTTTTTTAAGTCTTGCCACGTGCATTAGAAGTCAGAGCACATTGTAAACTAACATTAGTTTCATGCCTCCTGACAAATCTGGTGCAGGATAAAAGTAGTTTATTGTACAAATCTTTAAACTTATTCATGGCAGTGAATTTTTAATAGATTTTATTATAATTAATGTTTTCTGGGGATTCTATTTCTTATCTTAAGCAAAATGTATAGCAAGAGTTATTTTCCCAAGGAAATTATATTAATGATAACATGTAGTATCATATATTCTGATACTCATACCAATAAAATATGGTCCATAATAATCTGTAAAGAACAATTTGTGGCTAATGCTGGCAGCTTTAAGAAGAAAACAAAAGAGTATAAGAAACATCCATAATGTACAAGATTTCCACGAGATATTTCTTGTTTTTGAATAAACACAATTTGCAAGTTATAAATAGATACATGTGTGTATACAATATTTTTGAAAGTTAAAATAAGGTGAAACTATATTTCCTGAGGGTGAAACAGAACAAAACACCATAAATTAAAGAATAAATGATTACTATTGCATATAAAATATTTAAAAAATTACAAATAAATATTCAAAATATATCCTGGTCATGGGAGAAATTGTACTATTTATGAATCATATATTTCCAGTTATGTAATTCATCATACTGAAAGTGTTTTACTTATTTTTGATTTAAGTATTTCCATCCCCAGTTTTTCACATGCAAGTTGCCCTAAAGTTTAGTATTACAGTTACATCTACTTACTTTCATAAGTTTTTAGATGCATATTTTAGAAATTTAATTTGTTCATACGAAGGGGATTCTTTAGAGACTCATTGTCAAAAAAGTATTCTTCTTTAACCTTAATTCAGTACAGTAAGATGCATTAAACGATCACTATAACATATGAAACAAGCTAGGAACAATGAAGATTTAATGAGGATTAACAATTACCATGGCTTCGTTTTAAATTTTTATTTTCATGCTTAGAGAACTAAATGGCTTTGATATAAGAAATATTGTAGAAATTAGTAAATTATGAAGCACGAATAGGGAAATACATAAGAGGCTGCTGGTAACTATGGTGCTAGAATAACTATCCACAGATTAGTCATTTCCCCAGAGGTGTCGTTCATTCCTCAGTAACCAATTCTCACAAGCAATCATTAATAGTGTCACATAAAATTGATGGTGTTACATAAAAGTCTTACATTTTATATTTATATTGTCACTTAAAAAGTTAGAATTCTATTTCTCAAATATTGCTTCTTTAAATTGAATAAAATTGAAAATTTGCATCCAAATGTATATTTGTTTTCCCTTTTCTGAACATATTACTTTAAATAAAAGACTAGACTTCCAACAAAGGTCATGTAGTAGTAAAATGTGACTTCGTTTTTCTGAAATTCAGTTAGCTTATTTAAAAATTTTGGGCCTCGAAGTAAGTGGATTCTAATTTAACTTGTAGTCCCTGTGTTGTATGATGTTATATTGGAATAAGATTTAATGAAAATTATGATCTTATTACTCATATTTAACTAATTCTCTGTCTTGCAGATTTATAGATACAAACGTTGTTATTTGTAAAACATGTATTGGGTTTATATCCTAAGGACTAGCATATAAATATTTTTATTAAAAAATTTTTAGGCAGGGGGTGTTGGCTCATGCCTGTAATCCCAGAACTTTTGCAGGCTGAGGTGTGTGGATCATTTGAGGTAAGGAGTTCGAGACTAACCTGATCTACATGATGAAACCCTGTCTCTACTGAAAATACAAACATTAGCTAGCAGTGGTGGTGGGTGCTTGGAATCCCAGTTACTTGGGATAGTGAGGCAGGAGAATCGCTTGAACCCAGGAGACAGAAGCTGCAGTGAGCCGAGATCGCGCCACTGCACTCCAGCCTGGGCAACAGAGTGAAACTCCGTCTCAAATAACAAACAAACAAACAAACAAAACAAGTTTTTAGACAGGAAAAAATCCCCCACAAAAGACTAATATTGAATTACTTGTGGTAAATTCTCTTTAAGTATCATAAAGTTATTTCTTTTTACAATTAGAAATTAACGTGTTAAATAATATACAACACTGCTAGAAGAATTTCAGTCACAAAATTGAGATCTAGAATTTAGATATCTAGAATAAATATATTTTAAAATAAGTGTAATACAATAATTTTTAATTCATAGCTTTTAGTGTTCTTTTTAATTTAAAAAATGAGGTATATAAACACTTGAAAACAATTTGTGCAGTAATTCAAAGCTTTGGTTTGAATTAAATAATATAGTTTTACATTAATTAAACTACAATTAATGTAGTTTTACATTAAATAATATAGTTTGCACGGCAACACAAAAGTAGCATCCAAGTTTGTTATTTAACATAATGAGAACACGCAGATAAACATATAATTTATCATTATTCATCATCACAAAACCTAAAATTATCTGCATTTTATTTCTAGTTATCAGCAAAGTGCTAAAAATAATAATAAATATTTCTAAATAGAAGAGGGGGTCATCATACATATTAGCTACAAGATCAAATTACTTTCTTCATTTTTTCATCAAGAGGAAGTTTAAAGTCATGAACTTAGTCAAAATGCAAATTTCTTAACTGTGTTTAAGAAAAAAATGGGTATATATATCAATGTTTTCCCAAATAATCCAATGTTACTAGATGTAATACTGTATTAAAACATGTTTTACAATCCTGTTTTGACAGTTCAACAAGTATTTTGCACTAATAGAAAAACACTTTCCATTAAATTACTTTCTGCTGCCTGCACTGAAGCCCAAGGACTAAAAAAAAATTTAAATTTTTCTTCAAAGCTGTTTTTGCTTTTACGTGTCTGCATATAAAAATGATGTGCTTCATCTTTGGTGATTACAAACATAGTAACTTTATTAAACTGTTAATAAATAAATATTTTCTTAAAAATAAATTGCTCTAGTTTTCTAATGCATATCTTCTACATGTCTGCAAATTCACTAATTCAAAAGACTGTAACAAAATTGTTGGTTTAAAAAAATTGATAAGACATTGGTATGCTAGTTGGTGCCTGTAATTATCTTTTTTAGTTCCAGAAGGTAATTGGGGATTGTTTAAGAGCAAAAGATGAATGGTGCACCGCTAAATCCTGTTAAATCAATGCATGGACACAGCAGCCGCAGAGGTAAATAAACTGTGGAGGTCTGAATACCAATAACGAAGATAAAAATGATTTTACAGAGCTACTTACATCATATCCTAGTAGTTCAGTCTGTGTGGATTTATCTACTCTTGAAGCAAAAGCCTTCTGTAAATGCCGAACTTTTCCCTGCAAAATGAAAAAAAAAAAAAACGAAAAAAACAACATATTGTTGGTGAGGTGTGTACTTCTATACTAACATTCTTCACTTATTAAAATTTGATTAGTGTATAATTCATGTTCTTCTCTGTGCATACTCTTTGCTCTGTCAGTGCTCTTAAAATTAGCTTAAATATTTAGAGCTTTAATTTTTAGGTCACAACTGTCCCACCTTAAGCATCTTTTCTTCTACTCTAGGTGTCACTGAGTTAGAACCACAGTTCAACAGTAGAGTCACAATGTGCTTAAATCCAAGACAAAATGCCTATGCTTTGTTTCCTGTTATCTTTTTAAAATAACTTAGTCGCTATTATTTTGCTGATCCAGTTTCAGAGCATTTAGATTTGAAACAAAAAAAATTCTTAATAAATGACCCAATGGATTCCATTCAGTTTGTTTTAATTTTGTTATGCTTCTTCTTTCCAAACACCTCTACGCATTTAGGAATGTCTACTTCAAGAGACTGACACTAATCCAACCCTGTGATAACTAGGGAAGGGAAGTAATAAATGAAGGAGGTTGGGATTTCATATTTCAAATGAAAAACTACGATTTCTGAGTAAACTAATTTGACTGTGCTTCTTTCTGGGACCTTCCCTTCTCATTCCTGAATGTGTCACTTGAAATGAGATCTTGAGTTTAATTTTTACGTGATGTATTTACTAAGTGCCTCTCACAGCTGAGAGTGTTGTACTCACATGATCACATTTTATCTTCAAATATTTACTATAAATGCCACTCGTGTTAAATAAAAGCCATACAGTTTAGGAAGTTTAAGTAACTTGAGACAGTTTTCAAAGAAATGTGTGGGATTCCATGAGATTGTGTTTTCCACTTGCTTTAAAGCAGAAGGTCTATCATTTTCTTTTCTTTTGAAAATGATAAAGAACTGTGATTTAATTTTTCCTTCCCCAGAATTGAAAATAGTTATCAAGAACCTCACTCTCAAGAATTCCAGTTACACAAAACTCTTCCATCCTCACCTCCCTTCCTCTTCCCTCTCCTTCCCTCTCCTCCTTTTCCCCTACCTCCCTATTCCCTCACACTTTCCTTCATTGCTGCTTGGTATTTTTAAGATTATCTGAGATGTTTATCAAAGTACGTACATAATTTAGGTAAATATAACTTAGTTTAACTTACAGAAATATAGAAAAGAAATATTTTATGTTTTATTCATGTCTCATCACTTCTGACTTCCCTAATCACAAAACATCTAGTTCTCCTAGTCAGAGAAAAATCTGAAGATTAGATCATGCAGGAAGATGTTACATGACTGAGGTAGAAGTTTTTAATTATTTGAAAAAGATAAGTAGAAATGTGGCTGCATTTTCCAAACCAAATTTCAAATGAGAAAAAACAAATTGTATTTATCTAGACATATTGATTGGGATGAAGAAAAGAACAGGGAGAGGTAGTAATAGGTAAAGGAGCAATAATGTCCATCATTGAAAAGTTGTTTAGGAAAGTTTGATTATCTACTTTTGAGATAGATTGGAATCATAAGTATGTGAAAAGTAAATTTTGTTGCAAATCTGTAATTATATAAACTTCTGTGTATAAATTAGAGTCTATGCACTCATGTATAGAGCAGGGGAAAATAGCTGCCAAATGCTTCCATTATGCCACAGCTCACATTTCTATTTCAAGGGCTTTCATCCTGAGGATAGGAGTTGGACAGTGTTGGTAACTTCTGGATTACTGGTCTGAGTTATAAGACTTAGAAAATTCAAATAATGATAAATAAAGTTCCAAACAACTTTATTAACCAATATACTAACCAAAACAAGAGCAAACAAACGAAGAAAAACTTCAAATAACAGTTATCTTTGGAAATTAAACAAAACACAGACGTTTCCCGGTAATGTTATTGTCACTCCCTCTTGTAGGCATTAATTACAACAAATGATGTATTTGAATTGTTTATTATGGTATGCACATGTGTGCTATACTCAAATGTAGAGAATAAAATCTAAGTTTCCTATAGACTTAGGTACAAATAATTAAGAATTAAATATTTCTAGCATAATTGAAGGCCGTAAACATACAAAAGTTTATGACAAATGTCTGTCACATACAATTAGAAGATTAAAGAAAGAATACATAGCTTTCGGGAGATGATTCTTGATGGAGCTCTTGCATTTCTAAATGGTAGATGGAAATTTATAGATTGATAAATTTAATATGTATAAAAAGAGTTTTATAGATAATTAAACAGAAAATGTACCACAAAAGTAGCTATTACTAGAGGGTAGAATTGCAGATAGTTTCGATTTCTTATGCAATAAATCTATATTAATTTCATAAATATATATATTTTATCAGAGATATAGAAATAAAGTATCATCATGTATTTTCAATTTCACATTGATTTGATATAATGATTAATTTTTTTTTTTTTTTTTTTTTTTTTTTTTTGAGATGGAGTCTGGCTCTGTCACCCAGGCTGGAGTGCAGTGGTGTGTCTGGGCTCACTGCAAGCTCCGCCTTCCGGGTTCACGCCATTCTCTGCTTCAGCCTCCCAAGTAGCTGGACTACAGGTGTCCCACCACCATGCTGGCAATTTTTTTTTTTGTACTTTTAGTAGAGACAGGGTTTCACCGTGTTAGCCAGGATAGTCTTGATCTCCTGACCTTTGTGATCATCTGCCTCAGCCTCCCAAAGTGCCGGGATTACAGGCGTGAGCCACCACACCCGGCCAATGATTAAATTCTTGATTAAAATTATCTTCAGTTTATTTCAATATAGAGAAATTTCACCTTCATGATAGGAATATATTTGGATTTTATAATTTTTTATTAAATGCATATTATGGTAATTGCTTAGGGCGGAGGGAACACTAAGGGAAAAAAAGAAAATATATCCCTTTCTATGAAGACACTTCCAGTGTGAGTCAGAAAAATAAGACAATTAGCATTCTATAGGAAAAATATAGTTACCACGGAGAGAGCCAGAGGTGTGTGTGTATGGAAACGGTAGAAGCTACCGACATCCCAGCTAACATCAGAAAAACGAATTACTATTAGCCAATTTGAAGTGGAACTGAGTGATATGGAACCTAAGAAGGCAATAGTATTTGCAAATATTTAGAAGTCAGAGAGACCATGACAAAGATATGCATAAACAACTACTACTTCAAAACTTCAAAATTGCCTAAAGGGAGTCAATTAAAGGAACAATGTGAGGAATGAGATTAGAGTCGTAACTCAAGTTTATGCCAGAAAGGATAGAATGCTATGTTAAAAGATTTGAGAGTCAGCTTAATTTTCAAAATATGATTTTATAATTAAAGGCCATAAAATATTTTAACTAAATGAGGATGGAACTTATTTAAATACATCCTTCACTTTATATTGTACATAAAAAGGGATATATATGTATGCATCCATACAGAAGGAAGCAATATGGAGAAGTGAAACTATGGAAGTGTGCTGAGCTTTGACCACCAATGAATTTACACCATGTGATTTAAGGTGGCTCTCTTTCAGTATTCTCCCATGTAAGCAGACATTGTCATTTCTTCTTCTAACCTCTCTCAGAGGGATAGTGAAGAATTAAAACAACTCAATTTGTAGTAGATAAATTTTTATAAATAAATCTATGCCCCTGACAAAATACCCAATTGTCTTTAAGTTTCCTTTCCAAGCAATGACAAAATACACCCCTTATTTTTTCACATTTATGATTAATAAAGCATGTGTGCTTAGAAAAAGCAAAAAGGGCTAGCATATTATGTAAAAAAGTAAAACTAAATGAGATGAAAGTGACAGATTTTGTGATTTACATTTATTGTTAATTTCCATGTAATCTGAGTCCTGAATAATGTGTAGGTTTTGAGTTATATAATATTGCTATATGAATTAAAAATACGTTTTTCTTCTCTAAGTTTCCAATTTGTTTCATCTGAGATAAAATAATAAGTGACATTTGTATAATAAAACGTCAGTAACATAAATAATATATATTAACCTAATAAAACATATAAACTTACTAAGGGTACTTAACTGTACTCACATTCCCTTTCCTTCTGTAACGTTACCACTTAATTATTACTACTAATAATAAGATGTCATTAGTAGAATGTAGGTTATATGCCAGCACTGTATCCAAGTAATATATATATATATATGAATCCTCTCCAGAACATGCAAAAGCTGTGTTTTTGGTTCCTTTTATAAAAAACAGCAAACTGATACTTTGGTAACTTCAGTTGCTAAATATAACACAAGATAAGTAA